ATGATAGAACAAACAAAATAGCTCAAACCCGAACACCAAAACACGACACTAGTTGTCCGAAGCACTTTTCGGTAACAAGGTTACTTTCTTCAGGGACTGGAGTGAACTAAGTTCAGAGACTGAAGTGAACTTAGTTATCTTACTTACCTTCCCATACAGCACATGAATATCCATAGGATGTTAAAAAAACATCCATCTTGGATTTTAAGGATATCTTATACAAATCCGTTTCATGTTCGGCGGACGTCTTCAGGATGTAGTATGGATAGACGAATGTCACAGTTTCGTATATTCATAAAACATCCACAAAGGACGTTTGAAAAACATACGAACGGGACATTTATAGGACATTTTAGGAATGATATATATGTATTGTATATAATGTATATATATATTTGTTATCATATTTTTTGATGGAATAGGCTGTCTCTTTATACAAACGCATATAAATCTCAACCTAACTTTATTGCATACAAACAAAACAATATCTTATTTGAACATTATGAATAAATACAAGGCATTACAATAAGGAATTTCCTTTATTTTTTGTGATTAATCGTTCTTTTGCTCTTCGTAAATAATTTTTAATCGCTTCTTCTAGATCCTTGCTTGAACAACTAGATGTTGCCTGATTTAATCCAGCAGCATCTGTGGAATAGAAAAGAAACATATTAATAGTTTTTAAAAAAATATTAGTATGTAACTTATGATTAATCATACCTATCTAAATTTACTTAATGAAAACTTCATCTTATTTTATTAATTAGTAACTTACTTATTATCAGTCTATATAGATGGAGATGACAAAAAATGCTTCCTTCTTTTTGGCACCTAACCAACTATATCTTACGGAAATATCGTCCGACAAAATTTTTGTAAACACCCTCTTTACAAATTCGTAGGGTGTATGTCCGCCAATTCTTGCAATTTCTTGTGCCTAAAAAATATTAACTGCAAGTATTTGTACACAAAACTAATTAAGCAAATTTACCGATAATTTAAAGTTTACTTCGTTTTAGATCCTTTGCGAATCCCTCGTGTTGTGTCAATTTTAGTATGCGAGTAAGTGATTTTTTAAACGTGTCTATTCGTCTAATTTCGACGTAATTGCTGGAAAGGCCTCTAAACATGGTTTATTGAGAGCCTTTAGAGCGCGATAGTGTTTTGTGGCGTTGTCGATTAAATCTCCTAAAGAGTTTACATTGTTTTTGGAACAGAAATTTAATTCGAAAAAAGCCCTTACTCTATTTTTGATGATAGTAACTGGATCGTCGTAGTATTTTTCTAGAATTGACCAGGCTACACTATAATTTACTGCTGTTGTTTCCAACGATTCAATTTTTTCTGCCGCTTTTCCTATTAGACAAGATCTAAGATACATGAGTTTTTGTGCGTCGCGAAAGTTAGGGTTATCGTGTACCGCTGATTTAAATGCATCTGAAAAGCCGGGCCAGGTTTCATAAGAACCACTAAACTTCGGTAAATCCATTGTTGGAAGTTTTACATGTGTTTCTATTGGAATGATTTGATTATTTGACGAGATTTCCGAAGAAAGGGTTGCTGGATTGAATAGAGTAAGTTGTTCTGGTAGCGAATCTTGAACATCATTAGTTCCAGACGTGTGTGATGATGAGCTTGATTGTGTTGTTATGATCGGAATCGATGCGTTAGGTATATGCGTATGATTTGAAAGTGTGTTGTCGCGTAATATTTTTTTTGCTTTAGCGTCTATGCTTAAGTAAAATTCTTCAAAGCTTGATCTTTCCGTTAACTCTTTTTTGAAGGTTTCGTCCGAAACTATAAGTTCGATTTCAGATTGAATTGTTTGAAAAGGTGATGTATCTTCTACGAATTTATCTATTCTATTGTTTAAGTGGACTAAATCGATGTCTTCAGATAGAGTTTACAAAGGTTGTAAAATTTGTTAATTTTGATTTCAAAACGCCTCGCTTTCTGTTTAGGGTTTTAATAGTATTTTCGGTTTGAGACATTGTGAATAGAAGCAATAAACAAGGTAAATGAGATAAAGGAAGGATTAGTGATATTTAACGACTTACTGGTGACTCGGATAATGCGATGTTGAATATTCCAAAGTTGAATCCGTGGGTCGTCCGCTGATGAGAGTTTTTGATGTGGATCGATAATTACTAGGAACTAATAGATCCGGCTCGAAGGACCAATGTTGAATCGTGATAAGTACTGCTGGCCTAAGTGAGATTAAGGAGCACTTAATCACTCTTCGCGGAAAATTAATTCGGCGAAGTCCAATTATACGTAGAGCGAACGAACAAAGAGTTTTCGTAACACAGAAAAGTTTATTTAATCAAAAAATACAGAACTTCACACAAATAACAGAAATTTTAGGCGACAATAAGAAAAAGATAAGAAGGTGTGTGTTTTAATTTTGACCGAATGAACGTGACTGCCTTGGTTTTAACAACAGATGCAATTGTAGGGATGTTGGGGGGTGGTGGTACGGTCGTTACAATTGAAAGATTGTATTGACCTTAGACAACTGAAAATTTCTCCGCCTCAGGCGACGAGCTACGAAGATAGTGCAATAGGGTGACAACGACTACTAGTACTATAAATTCTTGGAAGATCGGATGGTCAAACTACCTGAATGGTTAGAACATCTCATCCCTTTTAGAGGTCGAAACAATTGTCGAGGAATAAACAGTTTTGTTGAAACATCTTTTCCTTTCTTTTCCTTTATTCATTCACAATTGCTTATATTTCTCAATTTGGCCTTAGAAATGAATTCATTATATAGTTTAGACGAAATTGGTCTGTGAGGGACTGCCTTTTTAGACATCTGCATAGGCTTTTTCCAGTAGCACTCTACAGAAGTACATGCAGGTTCCTCACTGCGGCGATGGACCCACAGCAAAAAAGCAACTACATGTTTGCATCCTCCAGCTGAAGCAACACAGTCATGGAACTGACAGCTTATAATTTCACTTTCTTCTTCAATGATAACCATCGTTACATTATATGCCTTGGTTCACACTTTATGCTCTGGGCATATTTTACATTTAACTGTGCAAACTCCTTGCTCCCGAACACAATAATTTGAAGTGGTCTTGTGTTCTGTCGAAACTGCCAGACGCGGATCGCGATTTCGATCTCTTTGGATCTCATCAGCGCGTCGCAGGCAGCTTTGACAGAACACAGACCAACCTTTACCTGCTGTCTTAACAGCGCGTTTTAGAAAATACTACAAATGGCGTGGTGAGCGCCACCTGTAGTACGATGCTCAATTATTGTTTTTAGAAAATAACATTTTTTAGATTTAATGTAAGGCCATTCCTTTTCAACAAATTTAGAACATCCCTGAGGATTTCTAATGATTCATCAATTGTGGTAGATGGGATTAGAATATCATCTAAATAGACTAGTACCTTATTGAATCTTAATTGTCCCAAAACTGAATTCAAAACACGTTGGAATACTGCGAAAGCGCAAGTGGGTCCAAAAGGTACCCTTAAAAATTCCCAATGACCATCTTGAGTCATAAAAGCAGTCAAAGATATCGACTCAGGTTCCATAGGAATACGGTAATATCCAGAAAAAGGATCAAGACTCGTAAAAAATTTCACGCCCGATAACCGTCTTAATTGTTCCTCTATTGTTGGTAGAGGATATCGATCATTAACCGTTATTTTGTTGAGATCGCGGTAATCTACACACAAACGTTTTTCCCAATTTTTTTTAGAAACGAGAAGAACTCGACTTGCGTATGGCGAATTTCTAATTTGCTCTCGCTCGTAATCTGAGAATTGTCGAAGTGTATGAATAGGTAACAGGTTTATCGCTTGTTAGATTTATTTACATCGCCCCTCTCCAATTTATTTCTTATGGTAAAAATTTCTTCATCATTTCGTTGTAGAGCCGCCACCCAATCAGTATAAATGGTAATTCTCATAACAGGTAGTCCCACCAATCGTACTTCTTCCGCTTTGTCCACGGGATTACGACTCAGTCCATCAGCCACAACGTTGCTGACACCTATGTGATACTCGATGATATAATCAAAATCGGAGGAACCATCGACCTATACGCGCACTTAAGTCTCTTTTATTCGCGAGCATCTTCAAACTATTGCAGTCTGTGCGAATAACAAACTGTATTCCTAACAGGTAAACGCGGAAGCGTTCTAACGCACACACGATCGCGAGAGCTTCCAGTTCGTACGCGTAATATTTTGATTCGTCTTTTGTTGTTTTTCGACTAAAGAAGGATATAGGATGAATTTTTCCATTAGACTGCTCCTGAAGTAGGAAATTACCCAAACCGATTGCACAAGCGTCCGTATGTACCTCGGTTTTCGCACTCGGATTATACACTGACAAAACAGGTTTACTTAACAAGCAGTCTTTGATTTTCTCGAACGCGTCATGTTGTTCACTTTCCCATTTAAACTTCGCATTTTCCGTAATAACTGGATACTGTTCTATGCTTCGCAACTTACCAGTTCCCGGTGCAATTCCCGAACTGTATATTTCGAATCCCAAATATTCGATTTTGTTCATGAAAAAATAGCACCTTTTAAAGTTCAATGTCAGTCCCGCGACTATTAACGCTCGAAACACTTAGCGTAACTTTTCAGTTGCATCCCGAACTGTTGTACTCGGTATTATGATATCATCAAGGTAGGCCATTGCCACATCGTATCGCAAATTTCCCAGAACCAGATTAATTAACCGCTGAAACACCGATGGAGTCCGAAAAGCATTCGTTTGAAATGAAAGTGTCCACCCGGAGTGATAAAGGCTGTCTTATCCCTGGACGCTTCCTTCACTGGCATTTGATAATAGCTGCTCCGCAGATCTAAACTAGTAAAATAGTTCATGCCGTTCATTCGATCCAGTTGATCGTCAATCAATGGCATCGAGTAATGATCTTTAGGGGTTTGTTTGTTTAGGGCACGATAGTCAATACACATTCGCACATCACCGGTCTCTTTCTTCACCAAGAGCACTGGACTGGGGAAGGGTGAACTGCTATCTTTGATTATATCTGCGTCTTTTAATTCCCTGACAATCTCCTGCACTTGTTGTTTTTAAGAAATAGCCTTCATTATTCACTTCTCTTTAATATTAATTGTAAGTTGGCTTAGCTCTTGGTGAAACATTTTTCAAAATAATTCATGAAATAACAACTCTTGGTTTTGTTTCACTATTTTTTATATAATATTTAATCCTCTAACATATGTTTCGGCTGTTATGCCATTATCAAAGAGTTATACTGTAAACTAACTTAAATGAGTAAATTTCTTCTTTTAAATGGAACGAACTACCTAGATATTATTGATATTATTATTCTGAATCTCTTCTACCTGTAACAGCTTTTAATAATGGGGAAACCCCAAAATCTATTTGGTCATTCAATAAAGTTTTGTTATTGTTGTTTGCTCTTGTGATTTCTAGCATTTCTAATAAATCCAATCTTTTTCCTTTACTTTGTGTATGTAACAATTTTAAATTATTTATATCTAATATATGATTGTTTTGTATGAAATGGTTCACTAAATTTGTATTTTTTGAGTGTTGTGCTATTGTTTTTTGATGTTCAACCAAACGTGTTTTTATTGAACGACCCGTTTGACCTACATATATAGAATCACAATCTTTACATTTAATATCGTATACACCACTTTTCTCAATGTTTTCTTGTCGTTCCTTATTGTTTACTAATAGAGAACCCAGATTCGTTTTATTTACTAATATTGGTCTGATG